GACTTTTTAATCTTATAAATTATTATTTTAAGAGACTCTTAATTAAAGACGACGCTAAAAGAACGTAGTTTCTTAATCTTATTAATATCGCTATATTATTCTTTAAATCTATTAATATATCGCTTTAGTAAACTTAGTTTTCTATTCTTTTTAAGTTTTCTTTTAAATTTCTATCGCTCAAATTATAGCTTAATAATCTCGCTATATATTAAATTAGTAATAATTTATAAGATAACTTTTAAAATAATCTTATCTAGCTATTATTTAATTAATAGAAAATATACTTTTATATTAAGTATTAGAATAAATATAATCTTAAATATTTTAATTATCTTTCTCTCTATTTAAGATTAAATTCTTTATAATAATAAGAGATAAATTTTATTATAATTAATAATATTTTTAAGCTAATATTATATTAAGTAGTAGTATATTATTTATAAAATAATTATCGTCTAATAAAGCTATCTTATACTCTTATAATTATTATTTTATATCGATTTAATAATTTTTACTAGTATATTAATACTTTTAATAGCTTTAAATTAAATCTTTTTATTATAATAGCTCTATAGAAGTTTAAAGTTAATTTTAACTTCTAGATAGTAAATAAAGCGTCTTATCTTAATATATTATCTCTTATTAAATTATAGAGAATAATTTAAACTAAATTTTTATTTTCTACTAAGATATAGTAGTTAATATTTATTAGAATTAAACTTTAATTTATATTATAACGCCTACTTTATATAAACTTTATCGTAGATTTTATAAAGAGTATTATAGTTTTTCTCGATAGAGTCTCTTATTATTAGAAGGTTTATATCGTCTATAAAGTTAATAACTATTATTTCTAAGTCGACGTAATTATTATATTTATCGATAAGATTTAAATTATAAAAGAGATAAAGTATAGACGATAGCGATGATTTTTAAAGAATTTCGATTATTATAAAAGTCTTTAATATAGAGTATTTACTTATTTTTAGTATTATTATTCTATTAAATAAGAATAATTCTATTTAATTAACTACTCTTATATTAATTTTTCGCTTTCGAAGATTATAGAGTAGTTGAGAATAAGAGACTTTATTATATATATCTAAAACGTCTAATAATAATATTATAGTTACTTTATTAGAGTTTTAGACTTAATATATTCTTTCTATTACGAGCGTATCCTTAATATATTACTTAGCCCTATGGCTAGCGGGCCTTGGCGGAGGTATCCCCTACTATATTATATCTCCTTCCCACATACATAGTTCGATAGCCTTATTATTCTAGTTCTACCTCACCCATATTAATATCGTATCTATGCTGGTCCTAACATTATAATAAGGCTCCTTCGTATACCCGGCGAAGAGAAACTTAAACGGATACACTCGAGGATAGTAGAGTCACTAAACAGCTATCAAATATTTCACTTTCTGCTCGGAGCAAGCGACCGAGTCTAATAAAGAAAACGCTGGGTATTTCTATTATATAGAAGCCCTATCACATATATAAATCACAAACCACCTATATCATTCGAAAGAACCTATATTAAATAACCTACACCATCAACGGTAACCTAATCCATCAAAAAACGACTCCCCTACATCGAATACAAGAAATCCTTCTCCGCTCCGCATCGATCTCTCCGCTCCGTTCTTACCTACATTCAACACATCATGAATTCTTTAAATCCCCCTACATCGAATACAAATCACAAACGAACTCCAGAGATCTCTCCGCTCCATCTTTACCTACATTCAATACATCAACAAACAAACACCCCCACACTCACAGTGAGCCTGCTACAATGGCAGCAAACGTACGACCTCTTCACTGAGCATGTCGACAACACACACAGTGAGCCTGCTACAAGGGCAGCAAACGTACGACCTCTTCACTGAGCATGTCGGCAACACACATAGTGAGCCTGCTACCAAATGGCATTCACCACATTCAATTCTTTCCCTACCTCTCTACCAAACCTACGAATCGACAAGCGCGGCTGAGTTGAGACAAAGGATGGAATGGAGGATGGATTTTTGATGGCAAGAGCATGGGAGACACAGGGCAAATCTACAGTGAAGCTCCCAGGCCAGGCTGCCAACAGGTGTTGGAGAATGACACATGCATGCGTTGGATTTTCTTCAGTTCTACCGATGGACTTGATGGCAAGAGCATGGGAGACACAGGGCAAATCTACAGTGAAGCTCCCAGGCCAGGCTGCCAGTAGGTGTTGAAGGCGAAAAAAGTGGAGGACTATGGCAAGCAGACTGGGCAAGGAGAAGAATTCGGAGAATCTTGCTGGCACGCAGAAGATATGACCAATATCTCCAGGATCTCTGAAGGACATGGCAGGCATGGCAGGCATGGCAGGCATGGAACAGTCAAGACCAGCATGCGATCCGGCAAAACCTCGGACATGGTGTTTTTGAACGAATTGAAACCATCCGATGTTTGACTGCTACACCTTGGCAAATCCTCTCCGGTCGAGGTCTGCAGGGACTATGGATGTTTGGAGATATAAGGCAAGCAATGGGCCTGCATCTCCGGTCTACCAGCCATGGGGGCCATGGCTATTTGAGAGGGGGGGGTAGTGTTACGAGCGTACCCTTGACACACCACTCAGCCCTATGGCTAGCGGGCCTTGGCGGAGGCATCCCCTACTATATCATGCCTCCTTCCCACATACATAGTTCGGTAGCCTTATTATCCTAGTTCTACCTCACCCATACTGGTATCGCACCTATGCTAGTCCTGACACTTTCTAGAAGATAGTAAATATCGTATTTATATAATTATAATCTACGGCCTCTCATATATATAGTCGATAGAAATTTATATATTTCTATAAGATATACTATTTTTCTAATAATAATCTACGTCGCGGTGAAATATCCGCCCTTTCCTACTTTCAGGCCAAGCGCGGCCCTTTTGGGTTTAGTGTCGCCTCTTTAGGCAAGGTGCCCGGCATTACCTCACCCGCCGCTTTCTCTAAGATATAAAGATCTATAGCGCTCGCTATTTTCTCACTTCCTTTATCTTTCTTCCACATCTCTCTATCGTTTATTTACTTCTTCTCGTATTATAAGGTCCTACGTCAATTTCTTTAGCTGCCTAGCTGGCTTTTATCGATTATCGCCAATCGTTATACTTTAATCTTTATATAAGACGTTTTACTAACCTTTCCCTTTAAGGCCACTTTGCTATACCTCTCTTACCCTCGCTATCTTCTAGTTTACTTACTTTCGAAGCTAGCTATAAAAGCGAACTATCTTATTCGCTATTTCATATCTTATCGCCCGCGCTGTAGCTTAGCTTAGCTCCCAACGAACGAAGATAATTTCTTTTTCGTCCATATTGAAGCGCCTCGTCGCTCGGATCTACCGGTCTAGATCTTTCTACCTCGACCTTTCCGTACTAGACACTATTTTACTACCGCTTAGCTGATCTACGACTCTACGACAATATTGATAGGAAATTTTAGCTTGCGACGAGCATTACAGGGCGAAGCAACTATTTAGCCCGAAGACTACTGCCATACAACTAATAAAAGAAATACCTCCCCACACGTCTATCTGGCTACGTAAATAGAGGATCGCCCCTCAGCTGTGATTAGGTAATATAGTATCAAGGGGGCTGAGCATGAAGTCGAGCAGCGGCGGCGAGCCAAAACTAAGGAATGGAATCTTCTCTCCTTGATCGACAGTGCTATTTCCGTGTTTGCCTGACCGCACTAATTAGATTTTCATATTTATCTCGTTTTAATGATATGGCTTTAAGACGGTAATCTCGCTTTTCGCTGTGGATCGGAGAGGATATAGTGTCTCTAATCTATTACAGAAGTTATAGCACGTAAGGTCTAGACAGCTGTAGCTGACGTGGCTCGATAATTGTATATCTTCGAGGGGCGCAGTGAAGACCCGGCTAAGATGGGATATAGATTGAATACGAGGTAATAAGGGTCGGGAGACTGCGCTAGCACGTGCCGTAGGGTGTGAGTCATATGAATGGAGACTGAGAGATCGGCGATTGAAGCTGTTGGAGAGGAGGTGCGAGAATGGTGGCGAAGGCTTTGACAAGATTTATGCCTGCAAGGAGCCCAAAGTAGCAATGTCTAGTTGGCGCTAGCGTAATCGAATAACGCCCGGTTTATTATAACACTCCACAGAGCTTTGCCAAAAGGGTCCTCATGCCACCCCACCAAATCGAAGCCTTTCTGGAACAACAAAAACCTACAATTGTGTAGTATGCTGGCATTGCATTGCATTGCAGATGGCAAATAATAGAACAGTGAAAGACTCCGTGCGAATACGGATGCGTTTAGAAGAAGCTCTAAAATGTATTATCACAGTGAGGCCTGATCGTTGTTTCTCCATTTCAGTTGGTGCAGGCTGTTCAAATGATTGCTGACCACCCTCGGTCTAATTAATTCATTAAACATCAAGCACGTTCGGAGTCTCCCTGTCCACGACCCGCGACTCGTGATCACATAATGTCGGCAGAGTCTTTGCCATTGATCTACACAGGTGTGGTGGGCACGGGAGAATTTCCATTCGCCAAGTATCTGCAGGTCTGATGCAGCTAGGTAATCAAATCTCTTTTTAGATGTGGCTGGAAGCTGATACGGCATTATGACACCCATTGAAGCCTATAGATGAGGCTATGAGCTCATAACCAATAGGGAATTGACTCTTGGTAGCGATGAGCGTCGACGTCCAGTACGCGAACACGTCTCGTTTTAGACCTGCGGCACCTTCTGCCCCCACGCCTGCAGGCCAAATCAGCCTTGTCTATAGTACATGAGCTTTGCAGCCCGCATCTCAGCCTCATTACAGCCCCCATAGACGTCTGCATATCTCATGCCTGCCATTCAGAGCCTTGCGGAGTCTGCTCTCAGTCCTGTTCTTTTCCACTAGGACCGGAGTGACCGTTTTAATCGAAAGGGTCTCCCTCTCCTTTCAGTCCTTTTCCCAACATCGCTTGGAGCCTTTCAAAACGCAATCATGTTCAAGACCAAGCGTAGTTCTCCCCTTGCTGGGCCGAAAGCAAGCGCTCTCTCCAAATGTACTCCGATACTTGTTATGCTGCCTCCTTTACTTCTTGCCGTAGCCTTAACAGCGCTTGACTCTCACGTTATTATCGGATCATGGCACGTCTATATAAGAGAGAATCTCTCCGCAGTCTCAGCAGCGAAACAGATTGTAGCTGGGGCAATGGGAGCCCTGCAGGCTTCTGCGGTATTAGCAATTCTCTTTAATTTCCCTACTCGCACGCGACTAGCTCATCCTACCAAAGCTGTCAAACTCGATACTCTTGGCCTACTGAGTGCTTTATCAGTACCTCGCATGGACTGGAATCTACCAAAAAACCATTGGCTGTTCGTCTTTATAGCTATCGGAGTTGGCCACGGACCCGCTGCCTTGTGGGCCAGCGCTATTACCCCCTTACCGACCACACATTCTGTGACTCGTGGCAGCATGATGGTTCCAAGCTTTCCAGAAGCCTCAGAAGATCATTGGGACCAATTCGGTCAGAATAGAACCTTCAACATAACAACTTGCACGGTTAAAAGGATGCCACAAACAGCATCTTTTGTGACCAACTGTCCTATTCCATACCGCCAAAATGCACTCATCAACACAGCGCGAGAGGCCACGGCTCCAGACATTAATCCACGAAACCATTCGAAGCTAGATAATCCGGTGTGGATTTATCAAGGGCGATCTTATGGTGCTGGCTCCTCTGTAGGAATAAGCCCCCCTCAGGATATTCCCGCGGATCTCCAGCTCAATAACTACTCTTTCGAAGAAATTGGCTACTATGCAAGCGTACAGTGCCATCATATTAGCCAACCGATAAATCTCACGCTTGAATATATGATGAATCAAGGATCACTTGGAGTATTCCGATTACAGGGCACTTTACCCAAATTCAAGAATTCGGCCCACGATCCGGTTATAGCTTGGTGTGGCAAAAGACCTGGCAAAGATATTTGTGACGATCCTAAGGGAGCTACAATGTTTGCATGGTTTGCAGCGACTAATGATCAGGCACAGCATGTGGTTGGTATCAAAGCAACCAGTTGGTACGAACATGACTTCGACAATATCCAATGCTCAGTCGAATTTGTTCCCACGGTATTCACAGTTTCCGTAGATGTCAGGGATCGATTGATAAACGTGACAGCAAACGATACAGCCACAACCGATCCTGATCCGACAGGTCTTCTTGTGAACAACACTGTTCTATCTTTAGAGTTTCTCTCTAAGATGAGCCCGTCTCTCTATGTCTCGGTTCTGGGAGACGCATTCTCGTACAATCTGAATACGACGACGGAAGCCTTTCCTGACATGGCTCGCCCTGACGCTGCGCTCAGAGCCACTGAAGCTTCATTCGAAGCAATCCTCGACGACATCCTCGGTATATATGGAAGCGGTCAGATATCTATAAACAACGACACAACGGTTAAGAGGATCCAAGGCAGTTTCGACTCATATCGTATTGGAAAGCCACTCGTGCATACCCTCACACTTCTATTGAACCTGCTCATAGTCTCGGGCATCTTGATTGAAGCTTTCAGGACAAGGTTTTGGCGCGACCTCCCGAAGTACGATATAATGGATCTTAAAAGTACTGTCACCGCGGCCTCTTTTGGAGGGAAGGACATCGCAAGGAAGATCCAGCAGCAAACCCCCAAGAAGTGGACCGCGGATCCGGGAGATCGAAAGCTGGGCGAAATCGAAGTTTGCCTGCGTCAAGACAAGATCAATGAACCCAGGATCATTCCCCATCATAACGGTCTGCTACAAGACGACGGTGACGGAGATGATATAGAGATGGATGGGCCGACTGCACCCTTCGAGCCGGACCCATATGAAGGTGCCCCTTCAGTGTGGACTCCGCTCGGTCTGCACGAAGAGTAGTCATCGAGATCATTGAACCTGTCATGAGTAGATGTCGTCGACTTGGTGCAGCTGGGATCAAAGTCATCGACGTCATGGAACACTGTTTGCGAAAGTTGGCTCCGAACATCGTGTTTTCGATAGATACAGGGGAGAGTATCAAGTTGCCGTATGTAGCACGATTTGCTTGCGATATCCATTGGCTGCAGGGAAATTTGATAGCCTTGGTAGTCCAGCTGTCGATTATATGGAGAAGGGGGAAAGCACCAAGAAATCCTGTACTAGCGTTTTGTGAGCTGTTGTCGTGTGCACAAAGCTTGCGAGTTCCTTGGCGGGAAGATTGAGAGAACACACCCCTGGCATCTATTTCTTGGCATTACTAAGAGCTAGTTATGCCGCAAACGACTAGTTTATATTAAAGTATAATCTACTTAAATTCTATATCTAATATTATTAAGTAGACTTATTTAATTAGATATTAGACCTAGCCTGTTAGGAGCGTACCAAGGGGGTAATGATTATGGTGGCTATGTAGACTAGGAGAATGAAGATAAGGAAGGAAGGTGGCCGAAGGCCACCTGGCAAGAAGAAGACCCCCCTGCCAAGGTACGCTAGTAGACCCATGCCAAGAGAGGCCATGGTACGCTCGTAACACTACCCCCCCTCTCAAATAGCTATGTCCGCATGGCTACCGCATACCGATCCATCTTCGTAGCGACGGTAACGTAGCGGTAACGGTAGCGGCAGCGAGCATTGGATCGCTAGCGATATGGTGAGGGAAAGCAAGCCCACCCAAGCGTTCCGCTCCGTTCCATTCCATACCCCAAGCTCTTGCCCAGCCGTGTAGAATCGAATAGAGGATGTTGAATCCTCATAGTGTAGGCCTCTTGTAGCAGGCTCGCTATGTTGTGGCCATTGTAGCAGGCTCACTGTGAGGTAGGCTGCCGTTCGCAGACTCACTGATTGCCGTGACAGCTGTTGCTGCAGCAGTGTCGCTGTCGTTGTCGGTGTTGAGTGCCATTGTAGCAGGCTCACTAGATACGTGACATGCCCGATGAAGGGGTCATTTTTGACGGAAGGGGGGGGTTGTTGTAGGCCTTCTCGGCCTGGGTGACCCTCTTGGTCTCGAGTAACTATGCCATTGTCCCCAGCAATGACGTCGCATCTCACACCGGCAATCCCCAGCAAGTACCGCATACCTTCAGCAAGTGCCTCACACCCCCGACAGATACCGCATACCCCCAGCAAACCCCAGCAATGACTCCGCTCGTCACGTCACCCCAGCAGATTCCGGCTATAGTTGAGACTTCTTTAGACTCGCTCCCAACGAGTGCAGTGAGTAGGTGGAACCGTTACGTTTGTCCCTCGCGGCTCCGGTACGAGGTGAATGGCTTGGCCCAATATCGTATGAGTGACGGATCTTCATTCTAATGTTAGGAGCGTACCAAGGGGGTAATGATTATGGTGGCTATGTAGACTAGGAGAATAAAGATAAGGAAGGAAGGTGGCCGAAGGCCACCTGGCAAGAAGAAGACCCCCTGCCAAGGTACGCTAGTAGACCCATGCCAAGAGAGGCTATGGTACGCTCGTAACATAGCCTAATAAAGATCTTAATAGAGTAGATAAAATCTTAAAAAAATAAAAAAAATATCTAATATCCTAATAATAGTTCTCTATTATTTAAATTATATATAAATAATATTTAACTTCTATAATATTAATCTATCTAATTTAAGATTAAAAATAATAGAGAATATATATAAATAGAACTCGATAGGAGAATAAGATAATAAAATTAATATAATAGATTTTTTACTAATAGAGCTATTAATTAGATATAAATAAGATATTATAAATACTATTATCTTTACTATTACTCTAAATATTTAATAATATAATTATTACGAGTGTGACAACTTCTATGGTCGTAAACATACGCTTAGCGACCTATTTGGACCTGGCGTGTCTTGGCAAAGTCACTGCGGCCCACAAATAGCTTTCACCACTGTATGTAGATTTGCTCCCTATCAATTGAATCCTCGTTACATACCACCATTGACTTGATCTGGTTGCAGTCCTAACATTATTCAATTAATCCGTCAATCGTACGATATCGATAATCTGTCGCAATAATGCCCACTGCTGAGTGATTCTACAACTCCAATCATTCTACCATTATTCGACAACACCGTTCAACCATTCCGCTCGTGGGCAGACGAGCTTAAAGAAACTCGCCTCGGGCGTGCGGCGCTCGGACTCGGCATATCCTAAGCAATACGGACTGCTGCCAGTAAGCCTAAGCCATACGACACTGCTGGGTATAGGAACGCTCGTATCTTCAGACGAGCTTAAAGAAACTGACAGGGGGTGTTACCGAGCACCAAGGCATATCCCAAGCAATACGGAGTGTCCTAGCAAAGCCCAAGCAATACGGTACTGCTAGAGTCGGAGTATGACTGCCGGGAGCAGAGGGGGTGTGGCCGGAGCCTGCCGTAAGACCTTGCGGGGCCGGAGTATGGCATACCTACATGTGACTGGGGTATACTAGTGAGCCTGCTACAATGGCACCGAGTGAGCCTGCTTCAATGGCATGGAACGAAGCATGGGCATGGCCGGAGCCTGCCGTAAGACCTCGCGGGGCTGGAGTATGGCATGACTCCGTGTGACGGAGTGAGCCTGCTTCAATGGCAAACGCGACTACGACCGACCTCTTTACTGAGCATGTCGGCAACTGCACGTCAAATAGTGAGCCTGCTACAACGGCAACCCTTCCAGAAAGTGAGCCTGCTACAATGGCAACCCTTCCACAAAGTGAGCCTGCTACCAAATGGCATATTCGATTCTTCATAATGCATTGATGGCAAGAGCTTGGGATTATCAGGGCAAATCTCCAGTGATACTCTCAGGGCAGGCTACCAGCGGGTGTTGAAGTGGACTCTGCAGTGTAACTGCATGAGTGAATAAATTTGGTTCGGATTCGGCAATTCCTCTCCAGTCAGGTCAGATAAGGTCCGTGGATTGTAAGCCATGCGGACATGGCTTTTTAGAGAGGGGGGGCTTCTTTATCTACGCGAATAGAGGCTATTTTATTAAAATAATCTTTATCCCCCTTTTATCTATTAATCCTCCGAAAAAGATTTTCTATTAATATATATAAATTAAGGTATATATTTTAATACTACTAAAATTCTAGAATAGAGAATAATAATCTTTTAATATTATAATTTCTCTATTATCTAGATATTATTATCTCTAATATAAATATATTCTTAATAATTTATTTAAAAAGTTAAATAAGATAAATATTCTAATAATATATTATATTAGAGGTTATTTTCTATATACTTCTTTTTAGTAGAATAGAATCTCGAGATATTATATCTTAAAGAAAGATATACTTTAAGAATAAAGAAGATATACTTTAAGAGCGAAAACTAAAATTCTAACTTTTTACTATTAGAATATCTCTATTAATTAGATATTATTATTATTAATATAATTATAGCCTTAATTTATAAGATTTTACTAAACTAGAAAAAAGCGCGATATAAGATATTACGAAGAAAATTATCCTCTATATACTTCTTATCTATAGAATAAAATTATAAAATAATCCTTTTTAGGGTCGAAATTAGTCTTTATATATTTTTTATCTATTAGATAGAATTATCGTATATAGACTTTCTTCTAAAGATAGATACTCGTAAAAAAGAGAAAAAGAAATTAAGAATATTAATCTTTTAATATTTTAATTTCTCTATTAACTATATATAGTTCTTAATTATACTAAATTAAATTAGCTTTATTTTTTATATAATAAAGTTCTAAATTTAGTTTAAGAGTATTCTTCTTACTTATCGCGAGGTTAATATTTTTATACTCTATAGTTCGCTTAGTTATTAATAAAATATTAGAATTTAAGTATTATAATTACTCTATTAACTATAGATCTTTATTATTTAAATAACTATAGTTCTTATTAATATAGATCTATATCGCGGAGATAAAAAGAAGTATAGTTAAAGGTTCTATAGTAAAGATTATACTTTATAAGCGCTATAGTTAAAAAGATAAATAGTTTATTTTAGAATCTTATTTTATATTAAAGACTTTAATTCGATAAATAATATTAATAGTAGATTGATTGATTGTTTTATACGTCTATGCTAGCTACTTGTTATAAGCTAATGAGGGATACCTAAACGCTAACCAGCTTAATAGCTGGGCGTCGAAGAAACCTGAGGGCGAACCTCTGGACAAAAACTTCAACTAAACTATACGCTCTTAACTTGCTGCTGTACTCTGTGCCGAGGAGTCTCTATACACCACCGCGCATCTGCATATTTCTAACATCCGGGTTCTTGCCATACATTCTAATTGATCTGTAACGTGTGCGCTCGTATTGAGCAGGGTCGCTGATCTCTGAAACCGCCGATGGGGTAAAACATGGTGTGGGTTGGATTGTTGTCCGGTTGCTGGGCCGTAGACTGGGTTCGTCGTACGTAATAGGCGTGTCGATGCGGCGATTTAAGACTGTGTGGCGAAGTCTTAAGAGGGAGAATTGCGTGTTGAAGGTGACCGCTGGGTTAGTAAGGACTCGCAGTCGTTGTCTCTCTTGATGGGCGCCGGGCAGAGGTTCACTACGTCTCCGTATTCACGCGTCCGCCAAGAGTCTTGGCGTTTGCCACCTGTCAGGGGGACGAGGCCTGAGGTGGTCAAATGCCGTACGGTGTCTGCGCACCGTATCCTATCTGTAGTATTGCTGCCCAAGGCGGGGCACGTAGAGTGATTCCTTCGGTGAATCGCGAAGGCTCTAAGAGGGGCAGCTTGTCGTAGAAGTCGCGCGCGCGCGTGGTTGACGTGGCGAAGAAGAGAGGGAGGGGGTTGCCCGAGGGCTCGATACTTCTTTGTATCACAGATGCAGTTCGCTGCTGCTCAGTAACGTTGTTGACTCTGTTGACATGTATTGAGATGTTGTCGACGGTCGTTCGTTGTCCTCTTCTCGTTCGCTGAATCCTCCACGTGTCGCGTCCTTCAGGGGTGAGACCTCTTGGCTCTGCTTCAACAGAGCGCCGCGCACGATGGCAACATTGACATCGCACGCGACGCAAGCAGGTTCGTAGCCGGCAGCACGTACAGCTGGATCTCGTCGCCGGCCTTAATAGTAGATAAAAACTATACTATTCGCATAATAATTATACTATTATATATTAAAACCCTCCTTCTTTTTTCTAAAGTAAAATCTTCGAAGATTATAAATAGCGAGCTTTAATAGTTTTAATAATATAACTATTAAATAAATAGTCTTCGCTAGCTAAGAATTTAATGATATAGATCGACGGATCGAGACTATCGCTAGAGCTATACCCTAGCCTCTCTATATAATTAGCCTCTAGCCATCGTAGTTAATTCTATATACGAATTTATATTATTATTACCTATATCTTTTTAATAATAACTTTAAATTATAATTCTTTAGAATAAAGAAATTAATATTAGACTAAAAGCTTTATAATATAATTTAAATAATTTATATACTCTAAGGCCGTTTAACCTAAATTCAGATAAAAAGATCGCCATTTTCGATATACTTCGACGCCGTTTTAAGCACCTTTTATATTAGAGTCTCTATCTATATTATATAGACTCTCTTACTCTTTCTTTTAGTCTCTTAATAGCTATATATAGACTTATATACTAGTCGATCGTATCGAGTTAAGACGATTCTATATCTTCTTAATTATCTTTATTACTTTATTATAGATCGCTTATAAAATCCTCGATTTATAGTCGAGTAGTATAGATATAAAGGCGAGAAGGAAAAGAGGGAGAAGAGGGGAGAGAGAGAGAGGATATTAAGACTTCTAGTCGTTTTAGGTGACCATTAAAATAATCCTACTTCTCCCCTCTATCTTTATCTCTACCTTTCTCTCTACTCAATCTACTTTCCTCTATTTATCGCTATTTTTAAGAACTTATATCCTCTCTTTTATATATAAATAATTCTTCTTATTATCGTTCGCTATAGCTTATTATAAAGTATTACTATATACTTAATAATAAGATATAAACTTATCTTACCTCTCTATCTTTATAAGAAACTAGCTCTTAGCTCGAGAATACTATAATATATAATATAAGAAGATCGATAAAAGTTATCGATTAACGACTCTTTATATTAACGTTATTAACTTATA